TATGGGGAACAAGTAATTACTTCATAATGCACTCCAATAATAACCTTAAGTGAACATTTAAATATCCCAGCTCTATCCGTTCACCAGCATCCAAATTGTATCAAATTTAGTATCATTTATTACTTTTCGTAGACGTTAGTAGGAGGTTCTAAAACTTCTCAATTTCACACTCCAAAACTTTATTTTTAATGACAAATTTCAGGATCCCAGCCCTATCCGTTCATATAGATCCAAATTGTACCATATTTAGTACTTATGAGTTCGAATTTCCAACAATGTCTCAATCCTGTATTCTAACAGTAATTTTATTATACCCTTCACCACACTGTGGTACAGGGTATTATGTCTTTGTGCATATATTTGTAACAGGCAAAAATAATCGTGATAGACCAATGGTTCCTTTTGAGAATATGCATAGACTCACTTTCTGAGTCGATTTATGCACCAAAGTCTCTGAAAATCATTTGATTTGTACGAATTGTGGCATAGCGTATTGAATTAAATCTAGAATGGCGTATGCTAAGTTTTGTGAAAATCGGTGCAGATTTAGATATAGCTTCCATATATAGTTTCACCCGATTTTAGGTAAATTGTGCACCAAAGTCTTTGCTAATTTTTTTATTGGCATAGATATATCGTAGCTTCCATATATAATTTCGAATTATTTATGTTTATTGTACACCACATAATCAATAGGTGTCTGATTGAGATTAAATTTTAAACAGTGCAGCATACCGAATAGAGTTTGTCAAGTTGGCTTTAAATCGATTTACACAAATCTGTCCCACTGAGCGCAAACGACTCTAAACTTGCCCAAATGAAATGAAATTTAGCATAGGTTCCAGAAAGACATTAAAATCACATATTTAAGTTCGTTCGATTTCATGTCAAAATTCCTTAAAAAAGGCGACGTCTTTTCGGATACATATGTAGAATATACCCAAAGTGGTGAAGGGTATCATACAGTCCGACTTTACTACTTTCCTTACTGGTTTTTAAATATACGTTTTCCATCTCTATCCTTTTATTCAAATCTGAATTGTACTAAACTTAGTACCATTTAGTACACATAATTACGCATTTTTAAAACTAACTCCATGTCTCATCCTACAATCAAATCCCTAATTTTAATTCCAAATTTTATGATTCCCGCTCACACAAAACAAATTGTAACATATTTAGTACCATTTTGTGCTTCTCGTATCCATAAGTACATAATTCCAATACTACCTTAAATCTGTAATTTTTCATTCCAATTTTAAGTTTTCCATCTCTATCCGTTCACTCAAATCTATATTGTACCAAATTTAGTACCATTTAGTACACGTATTACGAATTTTCAAAACTACCCACATATCTCAATCCTGCATTCAAACGTTATATTAATTCATAATTTCAGGATCTCGGCCCTATCCATTCACACAATTGTTCAACAATTTGTAAACCATTTGGTACCAGTTAGTACTTTTTTTTGTACACTCCAATAGTATTTTTAATTCGAAAATTCTGGAGTCCAGCTCTATCCGTTCACACATAATTAAGTTGTGCCAAATATAGAACCATTTAGTACACATAAGTACTATGCTTCCATATCTCAATTCTATATACCAACAGCAACCACTATTCCAAATTTTAGGTTTCCAGATCTCTCCATTCACCCAAATCCAAATTGTACCAAATTTAGTTCCGTTTAGTACTTTTCGTATATATAAATGCGAATTTCAACTGTAATCTTACTTCCAAATTTCATATATAAAATTTCAAGATTTTAGCTATATATGTTCAATATATGTAGAATTAGAACTACATTTAGTACTTTTAGTACACTTATAGGTCGAATTTCCAAAAACCCCTTTTGTACATCTTTCTAACTTTCCATCAGTGACCCACATTCCAAATTTCAGAATTCTAGCTCTTCCCGTTCGCCTAATACAAAGGGTACCATATTTCGTACATTTTAGTACTTTTCGTACCCTTCTAGTACGAATCTCCAAAAACCCAGCCTTATCTCACGCCTAAACACCAACAACAACCCACACTCAAAATTTCAAGCTTCTAGCTTTAGCCGTTTCGTCTGGGCGATGATCTGTCAGTCAGTCACTCACTCACTCACTCACTTAACACTAAGCTCTTTTATATATATATAGATATTCCAAAGACCACCATCAAGAAATCCGTGATAGGATCAGGAGTGTCGTAATGCTGCTGATATGTAAAACGCAGCGTATAGAGCAACCCTGCGGACAGTAGCAACACGTACTGCGATGGAGAACTATCGGGAGAAAAGGAAGAGCAAGAAAAACGTGAGCGTGAGCAAATCGAGATGTACTGGAGTCAGAATGAAGTCCGAAAATTCTACCAACGGGTAAAACCCCAAACCGAAGGCTTTGGTGCAGACACATCCTCCTGTAGAGATAAAGAAGGAAATCTGGTGACAGATACAGACAGCGTACCGAGGATCTGGAAGGAGCATTTTGAAAAACTTCTGGTATAAAATAGTAGCAGTGAAGTGGATACCCCAGAACAAATAATAGATGACGGTGTTACCACCAAGATTACAGCCAAGATTAAGTCAGAATAGCAATCAATCGGTTGAAGAATAATAAAGCAGCAGGTGCCGATGGGTTACAAGCCGAACTATTCAAGACTGGTGGTCAGATGCAGGTAAGGAGCATGCATCAGCTGATTAGTACAATTTTGCTAGAAGAATACATGCCCAATGATTGGAACCTCAGTATCCGGTGTACAAAAAAGGAGACAAGATGATATGTGCCAACTATAGAGGAATTAGTCTCCTTTCCATCACATATAAAGTGCTTTCCAGTGTGCTGTGTGAACGATTGAAGCCAATGGTCAATGACATTATTGAACCATACCAATGTTGCTTCAGACCTGGCAAATCCCCCCATTGACCAGATTTTCACTCTGCGCCAAATCCCGGAAAAACCCCAAGAAAAACATATCGACACATTCCACCTATTCGTCGACTATAAAGCCGCATTCGACAGCCCTTTCCGTTCAGAGGTGTGTAAAGCCATGTCTGCGTTTGGCTTTCCTGCTAAATTAATTCGGCTATGCAGGATAACTTTAACAGGCACAAGATCAGCAGTTACAGGAAAGGACCTCTCGGAGCCCTTTAATACCGAAAGAGGATTCAGACAAGGTGATAGTTTGTCGTGTGACCTTTTTAACATTCTGCTGGAAAAGGCCATACGAGAGGCAAAAGTGAACAGAAATGGCACTCTGTACAGCAAACAACACATGTTACTCGCCTAAGTCGATGACATCGATATAATGGGTCGAACATTGCGAGCGGTAACAGCCACCTTTGAACAAATCGAGAAGGAGTCTGCCAAAGTGGGTCTGGCAGTAAACGGCGAGAAGACCAAGCTGATGGTATCAACGCGCAAGACGTCCAGTAGACTCGGACCAACTGTGGAACTTGAAAACTACAGCTTCGAGGTAGTCAAAGATTTTATATACCTTGGTACCGCCATAAACAAAACGAATGACATCACTTTTGAAATGCGGAGGATAGTCATGGCCAACGGTAAATATCGGCGTCGAATGAACCACGAGCTTTACAATTTATACGAGGACATCGACATAATCAGTCGTATTGAGCTGCAGCGATTACGGCATATAAAAGCGAGCCTACTGATGGGCCCCGTAGAAGGGGAAGGCCCCGAATCAGATGCAAAGACCAAGAGGAAAACAACATCTTGGAACGTGGTCTTTCAAATTGGAGGAGATGCGCACAAGACCGACGCGCCTGAAATTCTTTTCTAAGCTCGGCTTATGGAACGAAAGTTCTGTCACAAGCCAGCAAAGTATACATATATATATATTTATATATAGCTCCCATATATATTTTTTCCGATTTAATTTAAATGGTGCCGTATATATCTTTCGATTTGCACGAAATTTGGCATAGCGTACTGAATTAAGTCTACATTGATGTGTGTTAAGTTTCGTGGAAATCGGTTCAGATTTAGATATAGCTCCCATATATATTTCGTCCGATTTAATGTATATGGTGCTCCAAAGACCCCATATATATCATTCGATTTGCATGAAATGTGGCATAGCTTACTGAATTAAGTCCAGAATGATGTGTGTTAAGTTTCGTGAAAATCGGTTCAGATTTAGATATAGCTCCCGTATATATTTTCTTCCGATTTAATGTACATGGTGCACCAAAGACTCTATATATCCTTCGATTTGCACGAAATTTGGCATAGCGTACTGAATTAAGTCTACAATGATGTGTGTTAAGTTTCGTAAAAATCGGTTCAGATTTAAATATATCTCCCATACATAACTTTAAATCGATTTAAATAAATTTGTGCCATAGATACGAATAGGCGACATCTGTTGGGGCACATAAGTGAAGGGCATCATATAGTCGTTCAAGTCCGTCTTTACTACATTCCATACGGGGTTTTAAAATAATTTTTCTAAAGTTCCTCTTTCCTAGGCTTGAATTTTTTAAAATAATGTTCCTAATAATGTTCCTAAGATATCTATCTATCCTTAGATGTGGAGTATTTTAGTTCCCCCCCTAAAAGCCATTAGTAAGGGCTGTTTTTAAACAATATTGTTCCTAGGTACTATCAATAGCGGTGGAATGCTTTTAACCAATTTTTTAATGGTTCTGTATTGAATGTGTGCTTTATCGCAGCTCTTCCATTCCTTTGCAGAGTGGCGTCGACGTTATGTCTAAACGAAGTTAATAGCTCTATTATTAAAAAACAATCAAGAGGTTATGTGTTCACTTGATTCGATTAATAAATACACACCATGTGTTATAACACAAAACCTATGATTATCCTTTTTTGGAAAAGTGATAATTTAATCAAAATGTTCACACGTTACCGTTTATACCTAAAAGCAGTTAAGAACCTCCATTATGTTCTCTCCTATATATAAGAGGATTATTCAAATGAAAATAAAATCACAACCCTTTCAAGTGGCGTTCCGTTAAGTGTTACGTAAAAAAGATGGCGGAGAAATTTAAACGATTTATGCGTGATATTTTCCCCTCCGATGTGGATAAGGGTGAAATCGGTTCGGTCAATTTAAATATTTGGTTAGCGCAAATCACCGGAGTACCTATAATTGGTCTAAAACATGAATCAAATTGGGTTAGAAACATAATATTGATATATGGAATCTTCATTACTACGGTGGTGACTTTTATTTATACGGGTTTTGAAATTTATGATTTATACATGAACTGGCATGATTTGGACAGTTTGACACAGAATACATGCTTATCGCTGACCCATATTTCGGGTGCCATAAAGGTGAGTAATTTTTTGGAAAAATGAAATTTTAATTATTTTGATGTATTCTATTTAGACGGTAAATTTAATTTTGAGGTTACCCCGCCTCCGTGGTGTAATCCGCAAATTAAAGCATGTCACCAAAACCTATATAAAATCGGAGAAGCAGGCAAGTATTCAAAATTAAAAAAAAATATGCTATATTGTCATTTAATATATATAATTTTTTCCGTCTTAGCTATTGGTATTTTATGATGGCGAAGTGGAGAATAAACTGGTTCTAAGTATTTATATAGGCATTGTGGCCTTTACCGGATTTATGGGCATGATTATGTTATATATGAGTAAGTAGGAATATGGAAATATAACATATGTTACACGATTTTTTTCAAGGAACAAATCTACAAACCTTTATTTTTCGAATAATAATTTTTTGGGATTTTTTAAAGAATATTTTTCAAGGGTCATTATAGGCGTGGATTTTTTAAAGATTATTTTTTCTAGGGTCATTATAGGCGGGTATTTTTTAAAGAATATTTTTCTAGGGTCATTATAGGCGTGGATTTTTTCAAAGAATATTTTGTCAAGGGCCATTGGATTTTTTAAAGAATATTTTTTCAAGGGCCATTGGAAGAATATTTTTTCAAGGGCTATTATAGGCGTGGATTTTTTAAAGAATATTTTTTCAAGGGCTATTATAGGCGTGGATTTTTTAAAGAATATTTTTTCAAGGGCTATTATAGGCGTGGATTTTTTAAAGAATATTTTTTCAAGGGCCATTGGAGGCGTGGATTTTTTAAAGAATATTTTTTCAAGGGCCATTGGAGGCGTGGATTTTTTAAAGAATATTTTTTCAAGGGCTATTATAGGCGTGGATTTTTTAAAGAATATTTTTTCAAGGGCCATTGGAGGCGTGGATTTTTTAAAGAATATTTTTTCAAGGGCTATTATAGGCGTGGATTTTTTAAAGAATATTTTTTCAAGGGCCATTGGAGGCGTGGATTTTTTAAAGAATATTTTTTCAAGGGCCATTGGAGGCGTGGATTTTTTAAAGAATATTTTTTCAAGGGCTATTATAGGCGTGGATTTTTTAAAGAATATTTTTTCAAGGGCTATTATAGGCGTGGATTTTTTAAAGAATATTTTTTCAAGGGTCATTGGAGGCGTGGATTTTTTATAGAATATTTTTTTCAAGGGCCATTGGAGGCGTGGATTTTTTAAGGAATATTTTTTAAGGGCTATTATAGGCGTGGATTTTTTAAAGAATATTTTTTCAAGGGCTATTATAGGCGTGGATTTTTTAAAGAATATTTTTTCAAGGAATATTTTTTCAAGGGCTATTATAGGTGTGGATTTTTTAATGAATATTTTTTCAATGGGCTATTATAGGCGTGGAGTTTTTAAAGCATATTTTTTCAAGTGCCATTATAGGCGTGGATTTCTTAAAGAATATTTTTTCAAGGGCTATTATAGGCGTGGATTTTTTAAAGAATATTTTTTCAAGGGCTATTTTTTAAAGAATATTTTTTCAAGGGCTATTTTTTAAAGAATATTTTTTCAAGGGCTATTACAGGCGTGGTTTTTTTAAAGAATATTTTTTCAAGGGCTATTATAGGCGTGGATTTTTTAAAGAATATTTTTTCAAGAGCTATTATAGGCGTGGATTTTTTAAAGAATATTTTTTCAAGGGCCATTATAGGCGTGGATTTTTCAATGAATATTTTTTCAAGGGCCATTATAGGCGTGGATTTTTTAAAGAATATTTTTTCAAGGGCTATTATAGGCGTGGATTTTTTAAAGAATATTTTTTCAAGGGCTATTATAGGCGTGGATTTTTTAAAGAATATTTTTTCAAGGGCTATTATAGGCGTGGATTTTTTAAAGAATATTTTTTTAAAGAATATTTTTTCAAGGGCTATTATAGGCGTGGATTTTTTAAAGAATATTTTTTCAAGGCCTATGGATTTTTTAAAGAATATTTTTTTAAAGAATATTTTTTCAAGGGCTATTATAGGCGTGGATTTTTTAAAGAATATTTTTTCAAGGGCTATTATAGGCGTGGATTTTTTAAAGAATATTTTTTCAAGGGCTATTATAGGCGTGTATTTTTTAAAGAATATTTTTTTAAAGAATATTTTTTCAAGGGCTATTATAGGCGTGGATTTTTTAAAGAATATTTTTTCAAGGGCCTTATAGGTGTGGAAATTTTAAAGCATATTTTTTTCAAGGGCCATTATAGATGTGGAGTTTTTAAAGCTTATTTTTCAAGGGCCATTATAGGCGTGGAGTTTTTAAAGCATATTTTTTCAAGGGCCATTATAGGTGTGGAGTTTTTAAAGCCTATATTTCAAAGGCCATTATAGGTGTGGAGTTTTTAAAGCCTATATTTCAAAGGCCATTATAGGTGTGGAGTTTTTAAAGCCTATTTTTTCAGGGGCCTTTATAGGTGTGGAGTTTTTAAAGCCTATTTTTTCAGGGGCCTTTATAGGTGTGGAGTTTTTAAAGCATATTTTTTTAAGGGCCATTATAGGTGTGGAAATTCTAAACCATATTTTTTCAAGGGCCATTGTAGGTGTGGAGTTTTTAAACCATATTTTTTCAAGGGCTATTACAGGCGTGGATTTTTTAAAGAATATTTTTTCAAGGGCTATAATAGGCGTGGATTTTTTAAAGAATATTTTTTCAAGGGCTATTACAGGCGTGGTTTTTTTATAGAATATTTTTTCAAGGGCTATTATAGGCGTGGATTTTTTAAAGAATATTTTTTCAAGGGTCATTATAGGCGTGGATTTCTTAAAGAATATTTTTTCAAGGGTCATTATAGGCGTGGATTTTTCAATGAATATTTTTTCAAGGGCCATGATAGGCGTGGATTTTTTAAAGAATATTTTTTCAAGGGCTATTATAGGCGTGGATTTTTTAAAGAATATTTTTTCAAGGGCTATTATAGGCGTGGATTTTTTAAAGAATATTTTTTCAAGGGCTATTATAGGCGTGGATTTTTTAAAGAATATTTTTTCAAGGGCTATTATAGGCGTGGATTTTTTAAAGAATATTTTTTCAAGGGCTATTATAGGCGTGGATTTTTTAAAGAATATTTTTTCAAGGGCTATTATAGGCGTGGATTTTTTAAAGAATATTTTTTCAAGGGCTATTATAGGCGTGGATCTTTTAAAGAATATTTTTTCAAGGGCTATTATAGGCGTGGATTTTTTAAAGAATATTTTTTCAAGGGCTATTATAGGCGTGGATTTTGTAAAGAATATTTTTTCAAGGGCTATTATAGGCGTAGATTTTTTAAAGAATATTTTTTCAAGGGCTATTATAGGCGTGGATTTTGTAAAGAATATTTTTTCAAGGGCTATTATAGGCGTAGATTTTGTAAAGAATATTTTTTCAAGGGCTATTATAGGCGTAGATTTTTTAAAGAATATTTTTTCAAGGGCTATTATAGGCGTGGATTTTTTAAAGAATATTTTTTTAAGAATATAGGCGTGGATTTTTTAAAGAATATTTTTTTAAGAATATAGGCGTGGATTTTTTAAAGAATATTTTTTTAAGAATATAGGCGTGGATTTTTTAAAGAATATTTTTTTAAGAATATAGGCGTGGATTTTTTAAAGAATATTTTTTTAAGAATATAGGCGTGGATTTTTTAAAGAATATTTTTTCAAGGGCCATTATAGGCGTGGATTTTTTAAAGAATATTTTTTCAAGGGCTATTATAGGCGTGGATTTTTTAAAGAATATTTTTTCAAGGGCTATTATAGGCGTGGATTTTTTAAAGAATATTTTTTCAAGGGCTATTATAGGCGTGGATTTTTTAAAGCATATTCTTTCAAGGGCTATTATAGGCGTGGATTTTTTAAAGCATATTCTTTCAAGGGCCATTACAGGTGTGGAGTTTTTAAAGCCTATTTTTCAAGGGCCATTATACACCTGGTTGTGTCCGGCCGAACCAAACTTTTTTTTACATGTTCATTCAAGTATCTATTTATTTATCTATTTTATACTGTACACAACACCTTGATATACTGTATATTTCACAAGAAATGGTTCGTGTCTAAACTACGGCGAATAAAATACAGTGTAATGTGGCATCAATGTTGCGACAGAATAAATAATGTCCAGTCAACATGGATGGAGTCTTGGATATGTTCTATAAGATAAAATACAGTCAAAATTAGATAAAATACAGTATAACGCCATATCAGTTATACTGACTACATCCAAAGTCGGGAGTATCGTCCAATTTCGCCGCTCCCTTGACTCCCTTGTCGTTATAAGCGATTTCGACTGTAGATGCTAAAATCCTCATTTGAGTATTATTTTAAGTTGATGTATTAATTTAAGATCCACACACTTATAGTTCGGATAAGGTTTGGAAAAATATTCTTTAAAAATCCGTGTTTATATCTCTAAGAAAACTGGAAAAAAATCTCTTAAAATCTGCTCAATTAGCTCCATTAATACGTCAAAAAAATTTCTTAAAAATTCCACGAGCCTTATGGCTCGTTTAATTCCTAGAAAAATATCCTTTAAATTCCAAGTACATAGCTATAATATTCTCAAATCTTGGTTGCAGATCCCGAAGCTGTTGCCGGTAAAATCTTTCCATATCGTGTCATATTACCTTCGTGGATGCCTCAGCAGCTACAGCTCCTCTACATGGGTCTGAGCGTTATTATCTTTGCCATACAAATCATAGCTGTGGATTATTTAAACGTTACGATCATCAATCAAATTCGTTTTCAATTGAATATTTTGAATTTGGCTTTCGATGATTTGATTGTTGAGACTCAAACCAACCCAAGGGAAACTAGGCACTTGGTTCTCTATAAAGATGATCCGGTGAGGAGAATGAATGCCATTGTTGAACATCATTGTCTGCTGAGAGAGTGAGTCACGAAGACAGAAAGTGTGGAGGAGTTGATACTCCTTGTCCACAATATTCACGAAATTGTGTTTTTCGTTTGATTTCTTCCAGGTTACGTCAAGATACAGAGGATATTTTTAGCCAACCTATATTGTGGCAGTTCATGACATCCGTTATTATCTTTGCCATGACTGGTTTCCAGGCCACCGTTCGCTCGAGTGGCAGCAGTGCGGCTGTACTTATTTATGCCTATTGTGGTTGTATTTTTTGCGAACTTTTTGTCTACTGCTGGTTTGGCAATGAAGTTTCCGAACAGGTAAGTCGGGACGCTCATGTTGATGGAGGGCGGGAGTGCCAATGGTATGTTAACGATTTGTGACTTAAACATTGACTTGAGTTTAAGTTGTAGACATTGAAACAAGGTTCAATATGTTTATGTACTTGGCCAGAAAGAAAACAAAAAACCGAAAAGGATTGCTTGCTTACCTACATCAGTGCCTTCGTACGTTTGGCGATATGATGGACACGTGATACAGAGAACAGAAACAAGTTTCCCCTAGCCCAAAACCAGTTTTTGAAGGTGGAATCACATTAAAGAGAATCACCACCAGCAGCACAACGTTCGCCGCTTCGAGTCAATGAATGTTTATTTGCTAAAGTTAAGATAAGCTTTGGTTTTGTTCGTCTTCCAAGGAAGGAAGAGGAAGAAAACAAATCAGAAACACGTCTGCGAACAAGCGAAGTTGGGTTAAATACCATATTTTCCCCTCTCCAACAGTCATGATAGCCTAAGATAAAATGGCACATCGATGTCCAGAGCATGATGACCATACGCGGATTTATGGTTCGGTAACCAAGCAGTGGCTTATTTGTTGTTGACAACTGTGATATTAATTTCTTTTGTTGTAATTTGTTGTTTCTTTTTTTTCTGAAAAAAGGTGAGAAATGTGTAACGGCGGATCAAAACAAAAAATGATGGATGAATGTTTTATTGGAGTTACACGCTTCCAATTTAGTTTGTCTCAGGAATGGGACAGTGGTATTGATGGGATAAAGATTTAGGAATTGGGTGATATTGTATGGGACAGAAATGTTCTAAAAATATTAAATCTAAGAGGTTCTTTGTCCAGAACACATCCCGCGTGGAAGGATATGCAAAAACTAGAGCCTATATATAATTTTTTTATAAAGAAGATTTCTTTCTATCAAAACAAAAAATGATGGATGAATGTTTTATTGGAGTTACACGCATCCAATTTAGTTTGTATCACGAATGGAACAGTGGTATTGATGGGATAAAGATTTAAGAATTGGGTTATATTGTATGGGACAGAAATGTTCTAAAAATATCAAATCTAAGAGGTTCTTGGAGCAGAACACTTCCCGCGTGGAAGGATATGCAAAAACTAGAATCTATATACAATTTTTTTTATAAAGAAGATTTCTTTCGCACCAAGAATCTATCCATTTCTGTTGAAAAATACGTTTGAAACCATGAACGTACTTAAAATGGGACGGAATCTTTATGTGGAAGCTATGCCAAAATATTAACCCATATTCAAAATCTTCACCTCCGAGAGCTCAAAATGTCAACATATAGATATAGCACTTGGAAAACGAAGCTAAAACTATCAGAATACATATAGTGGAGCAGGACCTTTATTTATTTAATAACCCCAAGAACTCGGAACGCTAAATTACAGCCAATTCGTTTGAAAAATTCTTTTTATATAAAAACATTGGTCTATTCTGACAATTTTTCCTGTGAGGAGATTTTTTAAACTTTCTACAAAAATAAGGCTATGTCTTTCAATATAATAAAAAGAATTAAAACATTTTTTTATACCCACCATGAGAGGGACAAAATACATAAAATCGATGGTGACATATACATGAGGGCTGCTGCTAGGGAACGAGAACTTGCCGGAAAATACCCCCGTCGGTTGAAAAACTTGTTTGAAATCCTCAAAATATTGAAAATAGGGAAATCTTAAATAGGGAGCTTTACCATAATATGAACCGATATTATTTTTGGTAGTAATATTTTAGACCTAGTGAGAACAAAACCAGTGAGGGGAGAAATATAGTCGGACACGGCCGACCCTATGATACCCTACACAACTTCCAAGAAATTCTAACTTTGTGTGGTTCTATATTCAGAGCTTGGGCAATGTTTTGCGATATTTGCACCATTTTAATCGACTAGAGGTCAACATATATTATTAATATTCAGTACAACCCTTCTTATTACTTGTCCAAATTCCCTTCACCGTGGCTTGTATTGTAATGCTCGGCTTTCAATTGTGGCCTGTAGATCGACTCGAGAAAAACACAAAAAATTAAGTTTTCAGTCCACTTCATCTCAATATTATTATCTGATCATCACCGAAAATTATAGGAGTTGTCCTTGACCATACATGGATCCTGATGGAAAATTTCAAAGCGACCAGCACTATATTTTCGTCATCTAGGTGGTAATGGGTTACTGAATAATATATGAATACTTAAGGACCTGTAAATATTTAAGTGTAACTCCCACATCCGAGTACATGCGACAATATAATTGGTTTCAATTCAAAGGTCAACCAATCCTCTTGGATATACTATCAACTTCTCGGGTCTATGTCCTTCAGGGGTAAATATATACGCTACAGAATACAAATTTTGTCATTTTTTATTTAACCCGCTTAATATTGACCGATACTTATCAAAACAGACATGTTTATTCTTTGGCCCAATCCCCTTCTCAGGCCATAATTGCGGTCTCTGGAGCGACCAGAAAAAAAACGACAAAAATTATGTATTTGGTCCATTTCATCCCCTAAATATTAACCGATCTTTACCAAAAACAATAGGGATCTTCATTGACCAGAACCCATTCTCCTCTCCACCAAAATGCTTTTGTACGCTTGTAAACAATATAATGAGCTGTCACTGGAATAATTTTAACAGCTGTCGGACGAGTGGCTTAGAAATGACAGCAGTATGAAGTTGGTTGCAGTTTTTCATCTCATCCTGTATATGGCTGGTATTGTGAAATCCCACAAGTCAAATGACTTTGGGGTTTCGACTTTGTATGAGAATAATGAAGAATGAACAAACATAGTACAGAATGCAGCTGTGGTTTTACCATAGAGTGCAGTCGGTAGGAGGAATAGCGAATTGGAGTTTTATGCTGCATCTGATAAACTGCAGTGAAGTTAGGTCGAGCGGATCTTTTTGTACCCGCACCATTAGGACGACGTTCAATGCATAAAAAATTAATCGCACTTCTATATGGGGGTTGTGTCATCATAGAAATTAGGTATTTGATCCATTTTATCCCCTAAATATTAACCGATCTTAATGAAAAAATGAGGGGTCTTCATTGGCCAGAACCCATTCTACATGCAAAATTTTGTGAACTGTGGCCTGTGTCGTGTTCACAAATTATAATGGATAGACAGGCGGACGGCCACACATGTCTAGATCGACTCAGTTAGTCGAGATATGACGATCCGTATGCATAAAGGTGAGTCTAGAGCCAACAATTAGCGGCGTTACAAACACTTGGGGCTACACAAAGCTATAATACCCAGACAACATAGTTGTGTAGAGTATAAATATCAAAGTAGAGAATCTGGGTTCAATGTTGAAAAATTTTTATATTTTTTATTTTCGTCCGATTTAATATAAATGCTGTACCAAAGTCCGAATATATTTTTCGATTTGCACGAAATTTGCCATAGCGTACTGAATTAAGCCTATAATGATGTGTGATATCTTGTCTGAAAAACGTTTAGTATTCAACAAACATTCTGGCGATAATTTCAAGAGAGATCTTTACTTTTTAGCAACTTGTAACAAACTGGCCAACAAGACAATGAAGTGATGACATCATTTTTTGCGAATTTATGATTTGTTTCTTTAATGCATTTTGGTGTTGGTGTTTTTTTTTTGGCAATATTTTGTGGCTGTCAATGAACTGCTTTGTTTTTTTTTTTTTTGGTATTTTGGATTACATGAGTAGATGACTGAGAACTTTGTACCCACATGAGGGAGCCGTGTCCGTGTTGGCTACAAAAATAAACCATTAACAGAGAGTATACAATTGCAAACAAAAATATTTAAATGGATTTTATTGTTTGCCGTTTGATATTCAAAAAATTTTTGAATAATATCTGCATGTTTCACAGGTTCGCTATTGTTTTATTTTTCGGCAATGTATATATAAAACAATTTTTATTTAAAATATTGAATACTTTTTTATATTTTATCCTTTGGAGTATGTAAATACATATATGTGTATAATTTAGATTTGTATTGAATTTTCTTCTCTGATATACCCATTTAATATCCCTTTAGTGAACTAAAATATATTTTTGGAATTATTTAGTATACCAAATATGAAATTTTACGACAATATGCAATGTGTCGGCGGGCCAAAAACATTTTTTATTATATTTTTATGTTTCCGAAAAATTTGTAATATTCACATATTTTTCTTGAATTGCTCTTCTCAGTGCCGTACAAAAATAAACATTTTTTTAACGTTTTCCAAAAAAAACAACACATATTGTGATGATACACTTTGTGTTCATACATACCTATATAAACATACGAAAAAAATATTACAAGAATGTATAACTTGAAATATTTAAATAAGAAAAATTATTATATGTGAAAGAGAAAGTAAAAGATATAATAACAGATAAAATAGAAAATATATTTACAGGGTGAAATAAAATAACTGCAACAAAGTCAAACGCCATAACTTTTATACTTTTTTTATCTTTATTGAATGAAAACAAAAAATGTCGGAAATAGCATCACATTTTAGAATAAGTTTAGATTTGTTCGAATTGGTCACCTCTGGCATGAATTATGACCCTCAAACCGCCAATGAAACCGTCACACGCTGCCCGAATCTTGCTCTGCGGTATTGGGCACATTTCCAGCGAAGCGCTTGCTTGAGGCGATCGACACTTTGGTATTTTTTAGTGTCAACCTGGCTTTCCAAAATACTCCAGACACAATAGTTCAACGGAGGTTTTGGGGGTCATTGTGCGCTGGAAATGAAGCGAGGAACCTCATTTTGTAACCATTCTTGGGTGGCACGTGATGAGTGCGATGGTGCCAATGTCCAAGATATACGGCCAAACAGTTTGCGTGTCCAAGGCTTTAATACACCCTCCAGAATATTTTCGCGATAATATTCGGCATTTATTCTGATGCCACGGCCCATTAACCCTTTCAGTGTAAAAAAAAATGTCGGAATAAATATCTAAAATTTTGTATTTTAAATCATATAAAGGTAAATAGTTTAAAAAAATAGCA